GAAGACCAGGGTTTTTAAAGGCTGTAAATAGCCCTTCTGTTTAGTATTGCAAGGCTGTTGAAGGAGTTGGAGTTCCACCTTTGTGACCCTGAGGCTATACCTACACATCAGAGTAAGATATACCCAAGTCTCTCAGCAGTATGGCTTATCTCTCCCTTCTGTACACCCTCCTTGCTGGAGCAATTCCCCCAGGGAAATGCAGACAAGGTAGGAGCTCTAGTTTGGAGTGGAAGCTGCAGTGATGCACCTTCAACAGGTTATTATGCTCAGTGCTGGGCTGGGACTACCTGTGCAGCACCCCATGCCCAAGGTTGTTTAGGAACTTACACTTTGTGTCTTTGGGGGAGAGTCCTGCGAAGAAGAGATGGCTCTCTGAGTAAGTAAAGTGATATTAGCTCCTTATTTGCTCAGGCCTTGCAATGCTTAAATGCCTTCAACCATCTGGCCCTGCTTGACAAGTAGCTGTTGAGAATTGGTCCACACGACTTGAAAAAGTGCTCATCCAGCCATGTTTGCAACAAATCTGTGAAATGTCCTTCTCAGGAGACAAAGTGTGGTGGGCCATGAGGTTCTTCCCTGTGAAATGGGAGAATAAATCTCAAGGAGTAGACTTGTGCTTGCTGCAGAAAAGCAGCATGATTCTTAAATGACACTTGAGTCCTCAAAATAGGACTCTGGCAGCACTTTGTTGCAAGTTTAGCTTACTTTGGCTGCTCATGTTGGGATGGAATTTGATCCTGGATGAGTAGCACTGATTTTGGTTGGATTAGTGTAAATATATCTTAGTAAACGTGTGTCTGCTCCTGTGCTCTGGAATGTGTGGTAGCTGGGCGATTTTTTATGAGGAGTGTAAAACAGCTGGATGTTTAAAGCATTTTTTGATGTAATCACAGACACGGCTTCTCCTTCATGGGAACAGAAACATCTGAAGAATCTGGTTGTCTCGTACGTTACGAGCCCTGAAGTTGTGATTTCAATCTGTTCACATCAATCCCAAGGTACTTCACAAATGCACAGCCTTCCTTTGGGATTTATCAGCATCGTTTTCCCTGCAGCGCTTTTTTTTTTTTGAGACATGCAGCTAGAGGAAAATTAGATGACTTGAGATACCTGTTGGATCCCTAACTGATACCATTGACAACACAGGTGGTTCTCTCAGCTAAGCACCCTTGACTCCTATTAGGGTTGATGAAGCAAAATGCGTGCTGGATAAAGCTTCTCTGAACTCTCTCCTGGGGTACATTACACCTCAAAAGCACCCAGAAGTCTAAAATTGGTCAGATGAATCGAGGCTGTACATGTCTCATGCTTGCATTGACACAGTGAAGTAGAAACAGCAAAGTGTAATAGTGTACCAGTGGCTCCCAAGATGACTATAGACAACTTGTCTCCAACTTGGAGACGTGGATCTGGCTGCTGCTGACCAAGCTACGGTGTGCCTGATGCTGTTGGTGCTGTGGAAATAGAGTAGTCACGTTTGGTGGTTTGTTCTGTTTCAACGTCAGTAAATCTGACCCCTTCTTGTCGGTCTGGGGATGTGCTGTGCTTCTATTCATATTCCCAATAACAAGATCAAAGGTGCTGATGAGTGGTGGCTTCGGAAGCTGATGTCAGATTTCAGGGTCATTTCCCACTTGGTTACAAAGCTGCAACCCCCCAGCACTCTTGCCGTGCAAAGCACTCTTGGTTCTCACAGTGCCATCGTTTGAAAAAATCCAGTTTATTCCAGAAACATTTAGAGCTGTCAAAAGGCCTGAGAAACATGTTGGAAAGTGGTAGCAGTTGGTTTGTTTTTAAGTCCATAACATGCTGCCACAATAATTCATTAGGAGGAACCGGATAAAATTTTCACGTTACCACAGCTGCTGAATAGTTATGGAAATAATGAGTTTTCATTATTGGGACAAAAAATAAATTTAAAAACTCCCCTGGGGCTCTCTGTGTTGATAAACATGTTACAAACCTCCCTATTCTTCTGAACAATGTGATTTAAAGAAAATGCAGACAAA